GCTTGGCCTTGCGACTTTTCTGCATGTCAAGAGTTCACATCTAGATGTGTATAAGAGACAGGAGAGAGAGAGAGAGAGAGAGAGAGAGAGAGAGAGATGCGCAACCGTCTTGTCAGAACTTGGGACTCACTCTTCAGGTAACACTTTATATATCACGAGTGCGATTGTTGAATGGGGAAGGGCCGGTCAGTATTGCTCAGTTTACGGACTATTTTTTCATCTAGTTAGTAATAGGACACTTCAGAACCGAGAAAGGCAACTGATTTTGCGATTAAGGCATGCTTAGCACCTCAGGGACTCTCCGGGGGTTCTCCCCTCGCTACATTCCCCTCACACCTCCCTACGGCAGAATAGCAGGCATCCAAATCGAGACCTGGGGTTTGACGACCATGTGTGTGTTTTACATGCCAGTGTGTGTGCAGCAGAAAGGCTACCACATCTTCAACTCACCAAGGTCAGCGGACTCCTGCCATTGGTTGCAAACACTGGGGGCACCTCCGTCCCCCTGGAGCCTTGGACCATCGAGTTCCTTATTTCGGCAGCGGTGCTGCTTGGGCTGCTTGGGCTGCTTGGGCGCCCCCATAGCCGACCACTTGCCGATGACAGTTCACGCTCTCCCGACCTGCTACTCCGAGGAGATCGCTGGGCCCAGAATCCCAGATTGGCCGGCCATCTGTGGGCCCACTTTTTTCGGTGGCACCCATCTGTTGGACCCAGTGTGTGCCTTTTTTTTAATTTTTTTTCTTTAAAGAAACAGCCCGAGCGGCTACTAGGGGTGCTGATATGGTCAGACACCACTAGTAGTGCCGTGTGTGCTAACTAGATGAAAGAAATAGTCCGTAAACTGAGGAATACTGAGTACATACCTTTCTCGGCCTTTTGGCTAAGATCAAGTGTAGTATCTGTTGTGATCAGTTTAATATCTAATCCGTCGTCCATCGGGGATGATCGGGCCACACGATATTAAATTTAAAAAAAGAAAAAAGAGAAAAGAAAAAAAAAGAAGGAATACTGAGTATTCCCGACTGGCCCTTTCTTTTTTTTTTTTTTTTTTTTTTTTTTTTTTTTTTTTTTGAAAAGCATTGACAAATTATATTGCAAAGAAAAACATTGGGAGGAGGCCGGGGACCTCACAATTCTACCCGGAGTTATCCTGGCAGCATCAGCCAGTTTCTCTTTCGAGCGAGCTCGATAATCTCTGTCTCTCTTGCTCAAAACAGCTGGAAACCGGGTCCAGCGTCCCAAGTACAATAAATGCTTCCCAAAATTAAAATCCTTTAAGCTCAGAACCAATTGGTCAAGTTTAGACAAAGCTACCTCCTTTGCCCTTGGACGTTCACTTGAAGATACCAGAAGGGGCAAGAGGGTGCAAGGTCCAGCTTCCCTTCATTTAAAATGACCAACCGGGCTTTTTAAATTTAATAACAGTCCAGATTAATAGTACTAGCCTGTACCAAACCCTCCCTTCAGGGCAACTACGGCCTCTTTTATTAGCAACCAGTCCTTGCTCACGAAAAACTAAACCCGTCACGGACAGAGAGCATTCCAAACCCACCCTGGGCCTAAACGGGGCCCTGACCATTCCTAGAAATCTGGCCTAGCGAGCGGCCACTGCCCACGAGGCAAGCAGACCTCCATGCTATGAGCTCCAACAGCCATTCAGCCAAAACCAACATTCCTTCCGCAGACACCTTCGCGAAATGACCGGCCCTTTCCTATTGGTGTGAGACAGTCAAGAAGTGTAGGGGACTCACCACTGTTGCTTTGCAGACCAGGTTCACGGAGACACGTAGGACAGTTATTTCTGTCCGATTTCCAGATTGGGCACGTTGCAGCGGCGAAGCACAAGCTCACGGGCCACTTTCTCTTCGCTTTTTCGGGCCTGCGCAGTGCGCAGTGATTGCTAGCAGCGGCAGCCATTTCCCGGCCAACGCTCAATTTTTTTGAACAGGACAAAACATCGATGGATGTGCTTTGGAGAGCTCAGAGCTCTTGCAGAAGCTGCAACTAACACAGGCGGAGCGTTTCTTAACATCGATTTTGTGTATATATATTTGTGGGAAGTGGGCTTGGTTTCTGCTCTTTGATTTAGGATGTCGAAATTTGTAGGCTCGTTTTGTTTGGGAAAGCTGTTGCCGAAACATAAATGAAGACAGTCTGTCGGACTCTTTTTACACTTCGATGTTTTTCTTTGTATACATATTTGGGGGAATTGAGGTTGGTTTCTGTTCTCTGTTTTAGGTAGTGTAAATCATAGCCTGGTGACTGGGCCCGCTTCCTAAGTCTTAACCATTTTTATTTTTCAGGCATTTGTGTATATTATAATATTATTATTACGAGCTGGGCGTTTTTCTCGGAGTCGAGACTGTCCAGATTTGACCCAAAAAAAGGCAAAATTTGTGATTGGATTCGCCCGAGGTTGCTTAGGGTCGGACTCTTAAATTCTTAATCCTTGAGTTAATGGTATAGTGCTTAGATGGGTATGGAAATGGTCACAAGCAGGTTAACGGATATCTGTAGTGTTGCAGTGGTACTGTCGAGCAAACGAAGAGCTCGAGCTGCGAGTCTCGCCTGCTCTGCCTATCTCAAGTGCACTCCGGTGTAACAGGGGCGTGGAGGCCCTTATTTGTCACCCATAGAGGGCCATAATAATAGGTTTTGGGGGGTCTGTTTAGCTTCCGAATGGAAACAAGGTTATGTAGGCTAGTCTAGGTTAATAGCTCTCAGCCTCTCAGAGAAGAGCGGTATCGATATGAAAATGGCAAAATGCTTTTCCTTTTATTTTATTTTTTTCGGACATATACTTGTTGACATGGCATCATTATGATGTTGGGCAATAACACTGTGGGCAGCCACTGCACTGAGGCGACACTTCCTACCGTCTTCACCCGAATAGAACGCCTGGTCATTATAGTCGTATTTGGTGCAACTTGCAGTCCAGGTACAGCGATAATGACCGGGCCTTCTATTCGGGTGAAGACGGTAGCCTGCTGCTTCAACTCTGTTGCTGTGGAATGTCGAGTTCGCCCTGACCCCCCTGGCATTGTCTGGGTGCTCAAGTCGCTTCCCAGTTGGCCGTGGCCTGGGAGCATGCCACCACCACCTCCTCATCAGCGAAAGGTTGTAGCAACGCCTTAATGAGCGTCTAGTGCCTCTCCCGGTTCCCCTTCCTCCCCCCCCCTGCCATTCTCTCACCTCGTCCCAGATATAGATCATGGGGCAGTGTGGTATGTATTTCGCGAACCAAAAAAAAAATAAAAAAAATTCCCACATCACTACGCGGGGGCACGGTTCCACTAGCAACCGAGTAAGGTATATTGTCGCAGGGCGACACCTGTGGGACGTCCGGGGGACATCCAGCAGCCGTTGCTGCATCCAAATCCGAGAGTAGCAAAATAAAGATGTTTGTATATTTAAAATTTGTGTTTTAATTTACTTTTTCTTGTTTTTTTTTTTTTGGTGAATAACAGGATGTGGTGAAAAGAAATACCAAGTCTGTTTTTGATTGGTGGTTGTCGAAAACAAAAAAAAAAAAATCAACCGTGCTTTCTTTTCCGGTCAATAGAAAGCCCCTCGAGTACTTCATTTCTTTCTCAAAATATAAGGAATTCAGACTTGAGCATGGGAACCGTCACAGGAGGCAGTCCCGTCGGGCAGACTCCACTCTCTCTCTGTGGTACTGCAATAGTCACGTAGCACTTGTCATAGGTGCACCCTCAGGCAATAAATAAAGATGGAAGAAGTGAATCTGGCTACGTTCTGTGAGGGATACATTCATCCACTGTCCATTCTACCCTTCAAGAAGATGGCACAGCCTTTTGCAGCACTTCCAAAGGTCGGGCTCGTCCCCACCTTGGGACTTGAGAAGTCACCACTTTAATTTTCTTTTTTCTCTTTTCTTCGTTTTTCTGGAATTTTCTTCGTTTTTCTGGAGTGTCGCACGCGTCGCACTAGGCCATGACTCGTGTGCTAGTGGAACCGTGCCCCGGGTGACTGCTGCACAGTTTGGAATTCGCAGGAAGAAAGAACAGTCCACTGCAAAAAAAAAAAAAAAAGAAGGAACAGTCCACTGCAAGCTTGGGCGAAGACCAGTTTGAAACTGCAAGAAAAACAGTAAACTGTGCGTTGGACGGCCTACCGGTTCGATAGTTTGCAAAAACGGGTTTTTATTTATGTTTTTTTTTTTCTCGTCTGCGACTTCTTTTTTTTTTTTTTTTTTTCCTGCACCTGCTTCTGCTACGGCCGCGCTGTCTAGGTGTCCACAACGAACCCTTATAATGAATGTATACAAGATTTCTTTCCGGTCGAATTCGATCCTTTGTTTTTTCGTCTTTTTTTAATCCTCACGACAGGGGTGCCCCGCGTGAGAGAGGGGGGGGGCGCGTGAGACAGGAGGGGGCCGAGGGGCACGCGTGTGTGTGTGTGTGTGTGTGTGTGTGTGTGTGTGTGTGTGTGTGTGTGTGTGTGTG